GATAACTTTTTGTGACTTCCTCAGTAACTTGGCATAGTACTCTCCATTGATGGTGTGGCCCTTTTGAAGATGGTCAATAAACACAATACTTTTTGCATCCAAAAAAAACTGAGGCCATCACCTTCTCTACACTACTTTTCAGTAATATTGTTATATCCCATACAAGAATGATTCTATTTTTGGTTCAAGGAATTCTTAAAGAAGTAATTCAATATCTTAAATTTCTGGTAAGGCAAGAAATATCAATATGCTAATAGCATTATGCCCCACTTGCCTTCAGTATGTCCTGTGAGTGTCAACTTCTTCAGGCCTTCTTTCCTCATTATGTGTAACATAAATTTTAGTTGACTCTTTCTGATTCTAAATACAAGTATCTTTTTTCTTTCCATTTTCCCTAAAATGTCCTTGTTGCTTCATTCTCGGCATCCTTCTGCAGAACTGCGTCTTCTTTGCCTGAAGTCTAAGCATCCATTGTCATATAGAATGATAGATATTACATAGCTTACCACATGTTTGCATGTCTTAAAATAAATTACTTACATTGACATGACAAAAAGTGGTAAGTAGCCTATTAGTATTGTGATTGATTTGATTTTTTATGGCTTATCAACCTTTGTGGGTTATTTAAAGCTATATTTAAAATATATATTTTAGATTTTAAGAATAATATTTTGCTTGTGAATTTATATTGCATTCATTTTTTTTTTTAGGATAACAGTGACTTTTCCAGATAGAAGTTCTACAATTTAACCCATATCTAGGGGTGATGAGATAGAATCATACATTTTCCTAAGAGTATTTTCACATAAGGGAACATATTGAACTCAAATGAAATTCGGATTCAACTCTCATTCCTGCTTAGTATCGTGAGATGTGATCTGCACAGGACAAGTGCAGCATCTTGACATATTATTGCTTCCACAATTGGTCTGAAGTCCTCAGGAGAAATTTTGATTTATGCTGTCTCAAGAGCTGTCTACTTTTTCTGATATTTATAGGTGTCAGATCTTCCAAGCAAATTTCTCCACCACATCATATAAGATCATGCTGAGCAAACTGGTGGGAACACCATTCATCGGAAGTCTTCATAATCCTCCTTAAACTGATTCTTGGAAATTTGAGCAACTTGGGAAACTGATCCTATTCTAATAACTTATCATTTTTAGTATTGTTATCATTGTACATTGTAGAGGGGCCATGGCTGTTATGTTGTTGATAGAAGTAAAACGTAGAGGAAACGCATGTAAGATTCAGATTCTCCTGCCCACCGAGCCCAACTACATAGAAAGGTTGGACTTTGATTAAGTCCAAAGAAGAAGGCAAAGAAAGCAAACAAAACACAAGACCGATAATATATGTATATACAAATATATATTAATAACAAGTTACAATACATGGAAACAGTACAAAGGACGAAGTGTGTGTGAATATTCTGTATGTGCGTGCGTGTGTGAATATTCTGTATGTGCGTGCATGTGTGTATTGTATGTAGCGTGTTTCCACGCTATTCCTTTATTAGTGCCTACATTTCAAGGTTGATAGCTGAAATCCTGAAGGAAAAAGAGATTTACCTCAAAGGTGTCGGGCGCAGGCCTGACGGAAAAAAAGATAGAGGCGAAGGTTCCGTGGCTATTTATAGCAGTGAAGAGACCCCTGGTGAAAAGGGTTAACAGACTGAAGGAGGAGTTAACTCCGACAACATGGAGTCATGTTGGGTAGAACAGAGCGTTCACTGAATCACACTTCTTAAAGTATTTATGGGGAACAGCAGACTCGGCCTGTGCCATGTGAATGCACTGAATACCATTATGGAACATCTACCAGCCTGCACAGTAAGAAACTGACAAGTGTTCATAGCTTTGTGGGTCTGCATCCCACCCATCCCCAGCCATCAGCTCAAAACAACTTCAACCATGACATTCGACCACACCACAAGTTGCCAGTCATCCATGGTCCAATTAGATGCACTGTCATATGAGACACTGTTTCCAGTGTCATCGTAGTAACAGGAACAGCTTTGTGGAGTTACTATGTCCATATCCCACAGAAGCTAAACTAAAGAATGCTGAACTGACTTGCTGGATATTGGTCCAGTACAGAATTCAAATCTGCATCATCCTTTGCAAGAGAAACTACTGTCAGATCCGAAGTGCTTTAACTGATTGGCTCCAAAGTGCTTCAAAATCAAGCAAGGTTCTATTTGCCTTTAAAGTACACTTTACCAATTCATATTTTCTCAATAGGCATATCTTCTCAATTTCATATCCAAAACTTAAACAAAGCAATTTCTAAAAGATTAATAGATTTTATTTTTTAATCTGACATATTTTTATTACTTCAAACAATAAAGCACATCAAAATAGATTGTTGCTTCTTAAAAAGTCCACGAAAATAAAATATGAATAAACTTAATAACACTAGACACATAATACTACCTACCAATTTATTAAATACTGACATTAAAAAGAATTTATCTAAACTAAAATTCATTACAATTACATAAAAAAAACAATAAGGGATTTAATTAAAACAAAACAAAATGATAGGAACATTAAAAGTGAAGCAGGATTTTTAGAAATAATCCTCAAAAAATCTCCCCAAATATATAGATATATATATATTTAGAGTGTTAAATAAAAAAGGATATTAATACAAAAAGATATCTTTCACAAAAATATACATTAAATACATTAACTAGTCATTGCAATAGGTCTAACTCTAATTTCAATTCAAGAATACAGTTTTAATTTAAATGAAAAATTATTTATTAAAGATAAAATGTATTGAAAGTGCATTGTTTTCCAAATCCCTTATCCGACATATATTCTTTCCTAACGAATCTGCAACACTTACAATATGGAATAATTAAATGCAACAGTGATAAAAATAAAGTGAAAAGCAAAAGTGATAGAAAGCTGGATAAGAATGGCTAATTTAAACATCTCGATACACCAAAGTTAAAATTTAAAACAGGGTGTTTCCATATCTTCAACATTTTCAATATTAAATAGTAACCAGTGTTTGTTGTATTTCACACACAACCACAAATACCACCATCACTCATATATATTAACAATACCATGATTAGTGTTAAGGAGTTCCTTCTTGGAATGAAATATGTTACTTTTTCCATTTTGTTATTAGATTAGCCACTGTTAGTCTGATGTACAGGTTTTGTACGTATATGTATAGATAGATGAATAGATTCTGTACATTTAGTCATCAAATGTTCTCTCAAGCAAATACTACTGAAAACAACAGATATTTTATGTCAATTAATTTTAATGATCATCTTTTCCAAATTATGAATAATCTTTCTCAAACAAGGAAGACATTTTTTAAAGATCATCACATTTTTTAATCTTTGATTACATGGCCTCAAGAGTTTAACCACTAACAGCTTATTGTATTATGACACCATTTCTAAAATTTATTAAAATTACGAATTTGTCTTTACCTAACACAATAATGACTTAAGAAAGTCAAAAGCATGGATCGTATTACTTTTACTATTTCTTCCAGAATGAACTTTGGACAATTGCTGATGAAATTTCTTCCTTGTTAGAAAAGTATTGTTTGTAATTTTGAAAATACAATCATTAAAATTAATCAACATAAAATATTTGGCATTAAATACATATATATATTTGTAAAATTTCAGATATAACCAAAATTTATTTGTAAAAGGACAATATGAATAAAAACAAAAAATGGAAATATTTGAAAAAATCCTGTGCACAAGTTTATATTTCTCAAGAATTTTCAGTTAAAATAACTTACTTTCTCTTTTAATGAGTGTGGCATTCTTTCGATCAAAGCTGTGGTTTAATTTATTTCTCTGTATAACTAATACATTGGATAAACAGTTTTCTATAAGATCCTTTTTTGTGTTCATAGATACGTTTTTTTTAATTTCTGCAAGTTTCCACAATGTATTGTGAAAAGCAATTGTAACAGTTTATTTTATATATATACATGCATCAGAATGATAATTGTCATTGGTATTTTTGTTTCTGATCCTATACATAATCCTTTTGAATATGGTTGTAATTATTTTGACATTGTTATATCTCCATAGGAGGCATGGTGGAGTAGTGGGTACAGCTTAGACTGAGAGCTCGGAGAGCTGAATTCAAATTCCAGTCAAATCCATTACATTCACTTACATGCTAATACCCTTGGAAAAGTTATTAATCCTCTTCTTCTCCTTCCAGCTATGGGTAAATAGCAGGACAGCCTGGGTTCTATAGTTTTGGATGGCAACTGATCTAGGAGAAGGACAACTCTGAATTCAAAACCTGTGGAGGTTTCTTTAGGGACCTTGTGGCATGTCGTGCACCAGGTCTCTGTATTCGGCCCTTAAAAAAGTGTCGTTGGTTCTACACAAAGCTTTCACCACTATAATCAAATCATATGTGCTGGTGTCTGGCTGTCAGTTCCTATGAATACGATGGGAGAGTCCACCATATCTCCATTCCTGAAAGAATTACTCTTTTTCCAAGCGAACATATATGACTTTAAAAATTTTTTAAAATTAAAAGAAAATGGTTATAATTTTTATTTGTTTCTAAATTCATAATCTCCTGTTATTTAAAATATATAAGATATAAATTTATCCCATACTAAAATAATTTAAATATTAATAGCATAAAAAGATTGAACATTATTTACTCATTTTCAATTATTAGACATTAAAATCTTTACATTTGCCTTGATAAAGTACATGAGCTGACAAAACACATCAGATAAGTTTGTTTTATATCTATATATATGTGCGCATGTATGTGTGTGTGTATGTGTGTGTAATGCCAGATATTTTTATGTTGATTTATGTTGTTAATGATCATGTGTGTGTGTGTGTGTGAATTACAATTAATGAGATCCAAACAATTTGCCAATTTGCCTCATACAGATGATCATTTCATCCATGAGAAAGTAGTTTTTTTCCTGGACTTATCAATGCAAATACATTTACTAAAATGAATAAAACGTTTCTTCACAGGAAATTTGAAAGGCAAAGAAAAGAAGTAAAAAAGGGAAAAAGGAAAGAATAAAAGGAGAGGGAGTAAGAATTGGTCTATAATAGAGGAGGGAGTTATATAGATAAAGAGGGTTAGGGGACCTAAGGTCATTGTGGTAGAGTTGGGTACAGATAAATGTGATGGTCACTGACATAAATGTAAGCTATCAACACCTGTGAAAGGAAGAAGAATGAACAAAAAAAGACCATAAAACATTTTAGAGAGGAACTTAAAATTATTACCAAATGGGAATAAGAATTTAAAATTAATACTTTTATAAAAACAATATTAATATTAATCCATTCAATACTACATCTTTAACTATATAGTATAAATTATAGTAAAAAAAATTAGGTAAATTATTAATATATTAATTTCATTTAAATATAACAAATCCCATTATATCAATATAATATTAATAAATTTTCAAATACTAAGTTAATAATTTAAATTATATCATACTTATACTAATTATTCAAAAATTCTGTAAAAAGAATTAAACTTAAATTCAATATATAAAAAAAAATTTAGTATTATATAAACAATTAAATATAGAAGAAAATACTACATATAGAAAACATGTAACAGGGAGAGAAATATTTAGACATAGAAGGAAATTCCACATCAAAAAAAACAATTTCACATATAGAAAAAATTTACAAATATATATATATATATATATATATATATATATATATATATATATATATATTGTCATCCACAGACAGACTGTTTCACAGCTCATCAGTGTGGCTATACATCTGGTTGCCTCTAGCTAGGATCAAAACCTGACTGAATTGGTATCAGTCATGGATTCTACCACTAAGCCATTGGCAAAATGCCAGGGATGAAAGTGAATTTAAGCATATTTATTTTTAGATAAACACACAGTGACTGAGAGAACTCAATTCGATTTACCAAAGAGTCATGCATTATTAGCCGTAATAGTCACTGTCTACAAATCCACACTTCCTACCCAGAGAGCTCAACCAAAATAGGGGTAAATTGACGCCATTTTAATTGCATGCATGTGCATTGTTTGTTTTTGATTTTGTCAACTGCACAGTATAGTAGGGTCAGTTGGGCACCATCTGTGAGAAAAAAAGGACGCCATGACACAATTCACTCGACCAAAAATTTGGAAACGGCATGTTGTATTGTGTGGCATTATGTCAGAATCTCCAATACAAGCATTTCGTAGGGTTTAGAGGTCAATCTGAAGACAGTGCAGAGGATTCAGAAAGAGGTAGATGAGTCTAATGGTGATTACAAAGGTATCTGGAGTGATCACTAGTGATGACAATATTATGCTTCCATTCCTCTTCCCACAGAGCCTCAGACTCAACACAGAGGCCTACATCAAATGCCTTGAGGAGGTAGTGCTGCCCTGGGTCAAGAGGGTGGCTGCTGGAGGTCCCTATGTCTGACACCATGCAACACAATCAGGAGAATCCAATCATGACAATTTCTGCAACCACATCACCTCTCACATCTGTCCACCTAACTCCCAAGACTGCAGTCCCCTTGATTATTATGTGTGGGGTGCAGTTGAACGAGAGATCAACAAAACTCCTTGTAACACCAATGCTAAACTGATGGCAAGGATTATGGCAGAATTCACCAACTTAAACAAGGTGACCATCCAGAAAAGTTGCATGAGATTCCGAAGTTGCTGTTGGCAGTAGTTGAATTGATTTTAGTAAATAAATTTACTCTTTAGTATTTCCAAATATTTTTGTGTAATTTTGGTAAATATATCTGTTAAAATGAAATGTCAGTGTTATTTTCACTTTTTCATAATTTAGAGAACAATTTATCTATCGCACACTGTATATATATATATATATATATATATATATATATATATATATATATATATATATATATATATATATATATATATCAGTATCAGTTTATACTTAGATAAATCTATCAACCTTTAAATTAATAGTGTAAAAAGCACTCATCTTAGACAGCAAACATTGATCTTTCAAAATAATTTCCTTCTTTAAGGAATGTAAAAAATATCGGAAAGTGTTTTGAAATGGCTTCCCCAGAGTCTACCCCTTAATGGAAGTTTCTATGCCAAGGAATGTCTTGAGATGAAAGAAAGGAAAGCACAGAATATCAAATGCAGAAGTTAGTAAGAGATGTGTGTGACTAGACAGATTTTATAAATGTTAGCAGAACTGTTTTCATATAGAGCTGAGAAAAAAAATGAATGATTTATTGTAAAGCATTCCACGAAACATGCAGACACTTAATAGTATATTTTGTTTTACTCTCCAGATGCTGCAAGCAGTGATACAATATCTTTTTGCAGGTGTTATCTCACATCTATGTCCGACACATGGACAGCAGAATGAAAACAATCTACATTCACAGTCTGAATAAAGGGTTCAGTTCAAAATTTCCTGAATGTTACCCAGATCAATTAACAGCCAAATAAAGTCGCAAGACACAAGGGCTAATATGTTGTAATAGTAACAGAAGAGATTTTGACACTGGTTTTGCTTATTGATTGATTAAACGATATCAGTTGGGTTCACTTCGTTAACTACACAATCTTTTTGTTAGCTGCCAGGGCTACATATGATTTTGAATTCAGAGTATTCCTTCTCCTAGACTGGTTACCAACCAAGACTAAAGAGCCAAGGCAGATCTGCTATTTAGCTCATATCTAGGAGTGGGGTATGAGAATAGATGAACATACTTTTCCCAAGAGTATTTCGTGAAAGTAAATATAACAAAAATCGACTGGAAAATTGAATTCAATTCTGGAGGACTTGTCAACAAGTGATGCACTATGAGTTGCTACCAATGGACCAAACCATCATTGTGGACATGTACTCGCAATTGGAATGTGAGCAACAAGCACTGAAGCAGAGAAGACAGCACTGGTTAATTGCAAGGGTGTACTGTTCCTCCATTCCAGACTGCTATGCATTACACCACCGACATATCAGTTATAAGTAATTTAAATAATCTCCTTGTTGCTCTTAATTGCATAATGAATATTAATTACATGGATTGAACATTATACAGTGAAAATTTCAGATCGATATTCAGTTAATAATGACACTCCAGATTATGAATTTATTGATCCACCTTGTATATTTATTTGTGCATGTGTTCCCAAGAATATATAGATATTATACAACGAGAAAAAGAGCCATAATTATGTGCATACTCATTTATTTCAACTGGCTTATGGCCATATCAGGTTGAAACACCAGTTTTTATACCCTCATCAAAGTTAAGCAACATCAAACCTGGTCAGTACCTAGATGGGTGACAACTTGAGAATACCAGGTGGTGTAAGCTTGGATTTGTGGGTGGTGTAATAGATAATGGCTGTCGAGTCAATATTTCATACCAAGTCCTTTTAAGCAATAACAGATTCGGATCATTTGAATTGCCTGTGACCAGTTTTGTGCAATGTTCTCTGTACGAATTAGCCCACTCTTTTTTTTAAATACTGCACCAGCTGAGTCAGGTTTGTTGATGGCCTTGAGTGTACAGAAATTTTTAGATCCCTGCAGAGGTTTCTTATATTATTCATTTTAACTTCTTCTCAAGATATTCACGTTTCTTGCAGGCGTGAATTCCTCCACAATGTGTATATACTGTGCACTGCCCATATTGCACACCGACAATACTGCAGGCCAAAAGGAAGAGAAACAGCCCCAAATCTTTACATTTCTGCCTATGTGTTTTATATTTCTGAATCATCAGCAATGTTGTCTGCGCAAAATATGCTTGCTGTAATTCAGACCAGAACGTTCTATTATGGTTTCACCTGACCAGATAACTTTTACCCAGAGAGCTGGATAGTGTTTTAGATGCTTATTAGTATAAACTAGACACGCTTTGAGGTGTTTTTTCTTCTAAAGAGGTGTTAATCTTGTCACACATCTGACATACGTTCTTACCACATACATGACATACAGTGCTGTTCGATAAAAGTGACTCACCTGATTTTTTTTACTAAATATTCTCTTCTCCGATGAAATGAAAGTTGAGCTAAATTCAATGGATAAACGATCTAAAATCCGAAGAAGAAGCTTTGAAAGCTCTTTGAATTTAGCAGTAAGTACTGTCAAGCATCCGTTCAGTAGAATGTTCTGGGGATGCTTTTCTTTTCATGGAATTGGTTTCTTAAAACCTATTGAAAAGACTCTTAGGAGCGAGCAGTACAAGAGAATTTTAGAGTCTTGTCTGCTCCCTTCTGCTGAAAGGGTGCAAATCGACCCCACGAAGCTCATTTTTATGCAGGATAATACTCCCTGTCACAAATCAAAATTGATGAAGGAATACTTTGATGAGAAGCAGGTGAGTGTTATGATATGCCCGCGACAATCTCCCGACCTCAACACCATAGAAAATTTATGGAGTATTATAAAGTACAGGCTCTCAAGAAAGCATTTGAGCAACATGCTCCATAAGAAACTAGTTCCATGAAAAGAAAAGCATCTCCAGAACATTATACTGAATGGATACTTGACAGTACTTACTTCTAAATTCAAAGAGCTTTCAAAGCTTCTTTCTTCGTATTTTAGATCCCTTATCCTTTGAATTTAGCTCAACTTTCATTTCATCGGAGAAGAGAACATTTAGTAAAAAAAATCAGGTGAGTCACTTTTATCGAACAGCACTGTACATCCTGCAAAGTGTAAGACTTTGTAACACCAGCATCATAGGCAAACTTTTTCAAGTCTTCAAGAGAGATGAAAAGGATGGCTTTCACTTACATGTAGAGTTTGGATTTGATTCTGCTCACAAAGGGACTCCCTATTCTTCTGAGATTTTCAATGGTGACATTAAACGCCCACTTCTTTGCCACAGACACCACAGTATTTTTTCATAAACTGGCAATACATTTATATATTTCTCCATTTTTGTACTCCTTTCTAAGAAGGTCTTTTAATAATCCCTTGGAATTTATGAGTGTTGCACATGTTGCTTAATGAAAACAGTGTGAGCATAGACATCAGAATATTGCCCACTATTTATCAGAAGAATCCACAGAAAATTCCACCCCAAACAAATCCAACCT